GGGTCAAATAAGATCATCATGTCAGTTTTAAAAGTGTAAATCTTAAATTGAAGCCCCATACAAGGAAACTCTTATTTCATTAGTCAGCATATTCTCTCCACCTTCAGCCATTAGACTAGATAAAATTCTATTTTATTTTTAAAACCCCACAGAGAAACCTGTTCTAGAGCTGCCCTTGGTAACCTGTCCATTATTGAATTCTCCCTTCTTTGTCTGAGGTTCGTTCTTGCATTCCTGGAAAAAAAATCTTCACTACTGTAAGGTCCTTTTAGTCCACACTTGCCGCTTCCTCCATTATGACTACCTCGGAAGTTCATTCATTTCTTTTTCCCCTTCATGTATCATTCCTCATTTGGAGTTTTGCTCAACCTCAGGTTCATAATTCCCTTAACCTCAAGTTCCTTTGGCAATCCAAACCAGTGCCCAGTCACCCCTCCAGTTTTCATATCTCCTAACTATCATAATCCTCCTTCCCTTTGGATTTGAGGGTGGTGGTAGAAAGTGGATAAATCTCACAATTTGTGCCAAGGTTTTCAGTGTTTCGTTCTCATATCACTTCCAATCTATAAATTTCAAAGTGCTGGATTGCACCCGCAGAGTATTACTTTCCTTTGGCATAAACAAGTTCAACTAAAGAGATAATTTGATTTACCTCAACCCTTGGAAATTTCTAAGAGAAATTAGAACTGGCTATTTCTGATCCTTAGATCCTCAAAAGGCCAACAGGAGATGGACATGTTTGTATTTCTGGCTTGTTAACCTCCCATATCAATGTGCATTATCTGTTTTCTCAGTGTTTCAGGGACACAGAGACTGGGAGTAATCTTTCCATACTAGAGAAACCTCCCCCACCCAGACTCTGCATTTTAGAAGACCTGAGTCACTGACCAATGCAATATTGAACACAACCTGTGGGGAGCTCTGACAGTTCCTCCCACCTCTCCTATGACCCTGAATGGGCTGTTCCCGCTACCCAAGAAAGTTAACCCTTTGACAGCCTCTATACTGTATGAATTTGCAGGTCCCAGGCATATAGTTCCACCAAGCAGGGTGGGGATGAGAAAGGGGTTCAGTTCACTGTCCCACAGAGACCAGAACTCTCGATGGCATCACATACTGAATGTCAGAGAGAAAATAATCCAAAAGCTTCTTTTCAATATTAGATAAGATATTATATCGTGTTTTGTAATATAAACAAACTAGGAAAATGGGAGATATTTCTTTTTACAATTCCAAGGTTCCAAAATGATAAAAATCTTTTAAAATTTATTTATCTTAGTGTTAATAAGTAACTGCTAATGGTGGTCACGTTTGCCAATGGGATTATGGAATATTTCACTTCTACGTCATTGGTTTCTGTAACCTTGGATTTTTTATTTTTTACAATTAGCATGTTTTAATTTTGTAAGCTGAAAAAATACCTGGAAAAAATATAGAAAAAAATTTAAACAGAAACTCAGTGCAGATAATATTTCACTGTTATTCGCCATATAACATATCATGTGCAAGCAGGTGCCATCCAGGCACCTCTCTGCTGTACATCCTGTTGCTCATGCCTCTCTACCTGCTGAGTGACAGTGTTGTCCAGCCATCCTAAAATTTCCCCTCTGCTCAGCACTCCCCTCTGAAAAACTCTTTCACTCATGGCTCTTTACCAGTAACACATGCAAAGGAATATTAATTAGCCTTTATTGTATTTTGCTTTATAAGTGATCTCAATTTTTACTCCCTCATTGTATAAAACACATCCCTAAATAGACTTTAGGATCTTAAAGGACCTTCTCTTTATAGTTACTGAGCTCCCAATATTTATTATTAACTTACCAATTAAAGAGTCCCCTCAAAAAGATTACATTAAATAATTACAAATGTCAATCACCCCTTATATTTAGCTGAACGGCTCAGATAGCCCCCTGAGATTTTTCCTTTCTTTAATATTATCCATTTCATTGTCTAGTGTCCCAACTACCTTGCTAGTGAGACTAGAACCAGTAACATCACTATGGTCACTCTCCACAATTTCCTCACTTAGTCTGCAGTTAAACAGCTTGTCACCAGGTAGCAGAAGGTATGCGGAGATCTGTGTTATGCTCAGTCGCTTAGTAAAATATAATAGATGTCATATCTCCTGCTTCTTAATGGGCACTCTGTTTAACTCTCATTCATGTTCTTGTTGCAGTTTGCCTGGGTTGTTAGTGTGTGCTTTTGCCCAAAGGGAAATATTTTAAACGTAACTTTATAAAAATTTAAAAATAAATCCCTGAGGAACATTTTCTCCTAAAACTTTTCTTTTACAAACATGATTCAAATTTTACACAGCAAGTACCTAACTAATTTAAAGTGAGCTTTAAATGTCATTTACCAAAATTTTGAGTTATGTTTTTCCCAATATAGGCAGAGGTCCAAGACTTCTTTTTCTCTGGTACTTTCAGTTTTGCTAGCATTTGTTAGACTTATTTTTTAAACCATTTATAAGAAAAACTGAATTGCCACGGCCTGTATTCCCTGAGTCTTCCTAATGAGAGATCTATCCAGATCCATCCATTTGTCTATTGATAAATATGTAAGATAAAGTTACTGTTAATAGCCAGTTGCATTCCTGTTAATATTTCAACCAACTTAGAAAAGGGGCATCTATATGAGTTTTTAGAAGCTACTCTGGATAAGTAACAGGAAACCATGGCTTTGGCACCACTGTGAGGGACACAGGGATGACAGACCTTTAAAGAGGACAGTTATGCTCCCCCTGAGGATGGAGGGGCAGAGCAGGGTGAGAGGAGGGGTGAGAAATATTTTTATTCCATACGAGAGAGCTGGAGGAGGGCAGGAGGCACGGGAACATAATGGCTCTATTGTACCAATGCCGACTTCCTATGGGCTTCTTTCACTCACTGACTCTGTCGGGGAGAGAGGGTGACAAGAGGGGACATGTAGAGACGAGCGGTCAGGGAGATGAACGTGGCAAAAGCAATTGCGATTCTCTGCAGAACCAGTAGCTACAGGGGCCCCGTCCACATCTGTGTCTCCGGGTTTCATATAATCAGCAGCCTGAGTAGCTAATGACTAGGTGGGGATGTTCCCGTGGCAACCAACACGATTTCCACACTCGCTGAGCAAAGGAAGGGACGCACAAAGCCGGTGTTCCCCGCGACTGCGGCCGAGGACGGAGCCGCTTCGCTGCGGGCTCCCGGGCCCTGGGCGCCTGCAGCCCCGGGCTCTGCAGCGGTGGCCCAACTGGCCACTTGGTTTTGCTAATATTGATCTTTAAAGTTCTATTCCTACAGATCTGCCTGCCCAGGCGGGGCCTTTTACTACACAAGCATGAGGTAATCTCAGTATAGCTACAAAATATTTTCCCTTGCTTAAAATTTCTGAAATAGAACTAATATTTACAAACACATATGCACACATATATGTATTTGAGTCTCTGGGTCACTTCTCCTTCATAAAAAGTATAAGTGACCCAAAGACTCAAATGCTTTTTAAAAGCTGCCATCTAAAATATATGACACCCTCCTGGCCGGGCATGGCTCAGCGGTTGAGCATCAACCTAGGATCCAGAAGATAGTGGTTTGATTCCTAGTCAGGGCACATGCCCGGGTTGCGGGCTCGACCCCCAGTCAGGGGCGTGCAGGAGGCAGCCGATCAATGATGACAACCTTTTGGTAATCTTCTTAAAGATAACTTTTCACGTTACCTTTGAGAACCACACAAAATGTAAAGAACCTAAACTAAAATGTTGTGGGTGAGATGTTGTCTAAGGGTACAAACTTGCAACTAGTAGAAAAGCAAGTGCTGGAGATCCAATGCACAGCATGGTGATTATAGTCAACAATACTGTATTATGAACTTTAGAGTTGCTAAGAGATCTTCACTGTTCTCACCACAAAAATGAAATGACGATTATATGACCTGATAGGGGTATTAGCTAATGGTACAGTGTTCATCACATTGCTATATATATATATATATATATATATATATATATAAACGTATCAAATCAACACGTCCTACACCTTAAACTTACACAATGCTGTATGTCAATTATATCTCAATAAAAAAGTAAAAGGAAAAAGAGAAGATAAAAACATCCTTAAAAAAATATTACAGGGTGTTTTGAAAGAAGTTGTGCTGAGGGGATGATATCCCACCTCCCCCAAAGCCCTGACCCCCCACCCTGTCCTCCTCAAGCAGACAAGGGAGGTACCAGTTGGGACTGAGACTTCTCATAAATGCCAAGGTAACACCTCACGGTTTCAAACTTCAATATTTGCCTTCCTCTAGAAGAAAGGTCAGGCACTGGTGGTGGTTGTGGTGCCATTCTGACTCACCTGGACCATGTTGCATGACGTGCACTCAGGGTTTCTGGCTGCAAGCTCCCCAGCACTTCAGATGCAGAAGTGCCAGACCAGTAGGATGGTTAGCCACCCAAATGCCACTACATTGCAGAAGACAGAGTTGATGGCGTCCTCACTATTTGGCTCATTCCTTGTCACTACTCATTGGTGGCCATCCGTGGAGCAGTGCCTGGGGTAGGTGGTGTTCCAGGAGGTACGAAGATGAATGAGACATAGCCACTGCCTTGGAGGAATTTACAGAGACATAGGCAACTCTATTTTAATGCACGTGATGCATCTAATAATACACGCATGTACAACAAGGGTGTACATAAGATGAGAGGCATGTATACGTATACAGGATTCAAAGGAGAGAATCATTGACTTCGGGAACACTGAGGAAGTGAATAATTCATTTTGTCCTG